TCTTTGACGCAGACTTCTGGTGGTTCAGATTGGTATGTTGGCCATTCACCTATGTAAAGTTGGAATACATATCAGGGGCATGTTCCTGTATGCGTGCGCTGCCTGGACCCCGAATGAGTGCACCGCCCCCCCCCCCCCAAACCGTCTACCTGTTGTCGGTGTTATGCACCACCCAAGCTAGGGGATTGTTTGAGTTTATCAAAAGCACACTTTTTCAGGGTGAACAATGAGAAGATGAGTGTAAGAGTCCATGTACATATCCAGCATATAAAGTGGCTGGGACATGTGAGCAGATAGTGTGAGTTGGACACGTGAGGGTCAGACGACCTGCAGGTCTTGGCATGAAGTCTCACCAGTTGGATGTGGTTGCGTATGAAGCCTGCCAGACGGTTAGCTGACTGTCAATTCGCACATTGGATCTCCACGTGCGGGTAGAGTGACTCACGAGCCAGGCGGATAATGCCAAGGGCTGCAGCGCTCGCCATCTTGAGGGCATGAGAATCGAATAATCTATAGAGAAATCGACTGTTCCAGCCAGGTCAGGAACCCTTGCGAGCGGCCAGTGATGCTATATCCAGTAAGTTTCAGGCCATTGTGTATTGTCGATGCTCCTCTGGTCCGGCTCTTCACCCTTTCCGCTCGTCCACCCACGCCCTCAATACATATTTGTCCTGCAGTTGTACTTGCAGATCACAAGCGTACAAACACTGCACCAAAGTGAAACCAGTTTTGCTCATTCGGCATCGCCAGCGCAATGACCTGGCATGGTGTGATGGTCTAACGCATCTCTTGATGTACCAATATTACTTTCTGAAAAATCTATACCGGCACATGCCGTGATCGTGGAATAATGATATTAACGAAATGGTTATCTCCAGTATAGATAACGTCCTAGATAATGGTCAGAGCGAAGAGGGGAAGATGGAGTAAGCGAACAATAATGAGCAAATGGTCCCCACACTGCAGCCACCACTCGTGGACAAGTTTCTGCTGCTCTTGTTCTTCCCCGCGCTGACACCCGATTTGGCTCCAGTGCAATACCTTACTTAGGCAGCACATCAGCACGTCGTCCCTACATCCCCTATGTTTTGGCTTTTTCCTCGTTTCTTTTTGTTTTCCACCTGTTTTCCAGTAGGGCTGTGTCAATAGTAAAAAAAAGAAGAAAAAGGTGCTGAAAGGTGGAATGCACTGCCACCGGCTTGCCGTACGCCCAGGTCACCAGCTGAATTTCGCGCATCTATCAAAATGTTCCTAGGGCTCCCTGTAAAAAGGCGTCGTCGCCTGTTGGGAATTCCCTAGTAAAACAAGAATAAATAATAATAATAATAACATATTAACTGGTTTGAGGGAAAGAGACAAACGGGAAAAGTCTGAAGAAAAAATTGACTGTCACCACCAGGACTCGAACCACAATAATAGTTTGAAACTCGGGTATTGAGCCAATAATAAAAGTAGAAAGGAAAAAGACATACACATGTTTGGAAACGAGTTAAGAGGAACTCTCCACCACTGTAACTAGATACTATATACAGTCAGAAAGTGCAACAACTAGGAACAAAACTGACAGAGTACTGAGACATTCGACGTCCTGACACCTAGCTTCAACACATCTCCGTAGCGCTAACCGACAGCCTTCCAACTTGGATGGTTCAAGGTTATGGAAAGACTAAAGAGGGGAAGGCAAGCGCAACGAAAACGAGCACAAGCTACAGTCCCAACAGAACAAAGAATGTCGATTGTTACTGGACGATTACGAGACCAGTAGGATATTTGACAAAGTGGTCTAACTACAATTCGAAACAGCAAAGCAGCACACCACCCAACTTGGGTGGGTCATAAATATCAAAGATGAGTAGAGAAGGGAAAGCTTTGCGCGGCGATGTGTTGAAGCTAGGTGTCAGGACGTCGAATGTCTCAGTACTCTGTCAGTTTTGTGCCTAGTTGTTGCACTTTCTGACTGTATATACATGGTCCGACTTATTAAAATGTGCGGTTTCGCTTCGAACGTCAGCCAAACAATTTCAAATAATCTCAGGACGGAACAAACTTTCCAGCTACCTAACACTATCCTTTAGTTGTCGATTCGTGATGTTGAAGAAGAAATGGCTCCAACCCCAAAGGAGGCAGCGTCTCAGGATCCTAGTCGACTCGAGCATTTTGCGTGCAAATTTTGTCGTCAGAGGACTCCTGTTGCTTCTCGCGCAACACAGAGAAGGCCTGGTGCTGAAATCAACACCCCACTGCGATGGGGAATTGTCACGGAGTACCAGATACCCCTGGGCGATCGTTCTCAAGTGCTTCCTGGCGGATTGAAATCGCTGCAGTCGCTGTTTCCTTGGAAGAATCAAGTTCAGCAAACGCGTCATCCAGAAACTCGTGCAGAAAGCACCTGCATCGCTCCGTCCAGTTTGTGCTGATCTCTCTCGCATTCGTTCACGACGTGGTGGCCGACGAATTAAGAGCACAGAAGAGATCGTCCAGAAGTTGATCGATATAAACAATGGCCCTTGAGGTCGACTTTCAGGCGACAACCTGCCTGGCAAACTGAAGCGCAGAAAGGGTGAAAACGTGAATGGTGCGGAGTCCTCGCCGACTCCTCGGAGCCGCGATCGCGATGCGTCACAAGATCGCCAGTCTCTGGGGCCAGTGGATTCGTGGAACAGGCAGGGAAGAGCACGCATGGTCTGATGCAGCTGACTGTGTGACAGTCATGTCGACACAGACCAGACTCAGTAGTTCTACGCACGCGGCACACGGTGATGAGAAGTGATTTTTTTATGCGTGGTGGTTTACTTGTTCGCCTAATTTGAAAGTGTCGTGGGAGTGTCAGGCGAAAACACCTACAGCCACCATTCTGGCAGTCGTACTGCACGAGGAGGAGGCGAAGTCGATCGTCTAAATCGTGCCTATGGGGTGAAAAAATCAAGGAAGCGCAGTGTAGCTTGGAGGCGATGAAAAAAATAGCGACGTTTTGCAGGTTGACGCACTTGAAGAAGCGCCCTGAGACACCAGCAGAGATGAAAACTAGAAGGTCAGGCCAAGAAACGACACAGTAGTTATCTATCTATCGTCTCTTGGTCGATTTGTAGTACAGGTGCTCCTTTGGACATAGGCTAAGCCGCTTGAGTTTTGAAGCGAAGCGCACATTTTAATAAGTCGGACCAAGTAGTGTCTAGTTACAGTGGTGGAGAGTAACTCTTAACTCATTTCCATGTGTCCTTTTCCTTTCTACTTTTATTATTGGCTCAATACCCGAGTTTCAAATAATTATAATAATGTAACTCGGATGGTGAGCCAATTAAATAATTGTGAAAAGAAGAAGGACAAAATGTTACAAGTTATGACTAACTGTCCACCAACGTAACCAGGTTATTATACAGTCAATGTCTCAGTATTCCTTGTCAGTTTTGTGCCATTTTGTCGCACTCGCTGACCGTATAAGATCTGGTAACGTTGGTGGACAGTAAGTCATAACTTGTAACATTTTTTCCTTCTTCTTTTCACAACAATAATAATGAACGTCATAACCGGATAGCAAAGTATGTGCACTTCGAAATGTGTAGAGCACGAGATCTACCTACTGGTGCTTCACGCTTCGACCACCAGCTCAAGGCATTGGTCAAAAGTGATCGGTATCGGCTCTATTGGGAGTATTCGGTCCCAACTGACCTGAAACTATCTGCGAACAGGCCCGATCTGCTCCTTGTTAATGACAAGGAGTGCATCGCACACATTATAGACATCAACGTTCCTGGTGAGACCAACATCAATAAGAAAATGGCTGAAAAGCGCTCGAAATATTATGACTTAAAGCGGGAGATTTCCAGGACTTGGTCCCTCACCCAGGTTGACATGGTCCCTGTGGTTGTCGGTGCCCTGGGAGGCTTGGTGATAGAGACTCCTCAATGCCTTCGGACTGTGCAGGGAGGAGACCTGGCTATTGTGTAGCAGGAGGCTATCCAAGGGTCGGTTAAAATACTTAGAACTGTCCTTAACATGTAGATGCACATCTTCTGTGTTTTCATGCTCAATAGCCCAGAGACTTGAATAACGACTGATAAAGATATTTCCTTTGTTACTCCCTTCATTGGTTGATGTACTTTGCCTGTCGCTGCAAATACTTTATTATTGTTTTGATGTTGGAGTTCGGATTGAGTTTCTTTCCTTTCTTCCTCTTCCTACCCCTATTTCATGTCCCTTTGGTTTTAAGCTTTTTTTTATTTTTTCACATTCTTTTTGCTGTCCAACCCACGGAAATATTTCCCGGTGGGTCTGGCTTATCGCCTTCGAAAGAAGTGAATAAAGGAGATATGATAATATTGACATGTGCACAAGCTATGTCCCAAACTATGTTGTGCGAAGGCAATGCACCGGTTTGATGTAGGCTAGGAGCCCAGATGTCACTTTCCCTCTCTCTATGCATTTGACACGACCCTGTGGGTATCTGAGCGCCCTGGTAAGACTTGCCTTCACTGCGTTCAGTCTTCCTGATTGGGGCTCTTGTACATCGCCTATACGCACATGTACGCACATAATATAGCGACTAGCAAGAATGTTTTTGGCACGTTCCACAATTTCATGCTGTTCATCTCATAACATCTTGATGACAAGCAGTGATAAGCGGGTTTGCCGCAGGCGCAGGCGCAATGTAAAAGTCATAATATTACGAGGCTGACTTCAGCCGACCAAGAGCTATTTTCGACGACTGTCTGTGTAGCAGCCAGCCATGTTCTTTGATTGGCGTCATATTGGTTCTTATCCTTTCCCATGTGGAGGTAGGGAATATTCATGTGACATGTCACGTTCACCAATAAGCTTGTGTGTTTGAGCTCATGACATGTCGAACATACATGCACAGTAGCACTGGCATGTGACCACTGCGTGCCACTCATAGCCCTGCTATACATTAGCCATCTAGTTGCGGGTGCATGTACATGTACATGTACGTGTAGCTCATTTCCTAGGCTTGTGTTAGTGGGTCAGCAAACGATGTCTACGTGCAGTAGCCAATCGAGCTGCTACGGAGTACCACTGACTGATATCATGGCACTCATCGTGCGTGTCTTTGGCATAATTATGCTTGCAGAGAGTCTAAGCAGAAAGCGAGCAGATAGTAATTAATTTGTTTCATTGAGGGCTTTGCTCTCGGAACCAGCGCTCCTTTTCGCAAGGCAAACGAACCTTATCGTGATTTGTGTGCTACACCCAATTGATCCTGGATTATACACCAAAATCTGGTATGTGGAAACATTTTGGGTAGTCATGTTTGGTGAATGTTGATTGATTCAAAGTAACTCGATGGTTCCTATCCTTCCGTTGTCTCCGATAGGGTTTTGTTGGCCGGATTTGAATTTACCATTGTAATTGAGAACATTTCCCAGTGCTGGTTTTCAACAGTGTTGCAACCAGAAGAGACGAGCACAATGGTGCTTCAGTTTAAGGTAAGTGACGCTGTAATGTAAGTGTGACTCAACAATGTTTCTAAGTTAGCAGAGTTACGTCCACTATGCTTCCCAATAAATGCCGGTAGTGGTGATGGGGCCGTGTTACTCAGGCCAGCTTGATGTTGTTGGCGTCTGCACACACAAAGTACGCCAGGATCAGGATTCCTTGAAAGGAAAAGAAACGACATCAACAAAACCAAAAAGCAGCACAGGCCAAAATTTCCGAATTTCATTCCCCTTACACGTCTACTGCAGAGGGAGACCGTTTCACTTACCTTCTACGTTATCTACTCTTCCTAGACACTGCCGTTATGTCCTTTCTTTTCCTTTCAAAGGACCGTTAAAATACTGAATGAAACATACTTCCTCCGCCCAGGCAAAATTTTCGCTTATCTCCTTCAGCCCAATGACAGGTGTCTGGCAGCAATTTTTTCATCTTGTGCACTTCACCATCACACAAATCTGCTGGTTCAGGCGTACCAGTTCCAAACAAGTCGGCGAAGTCGGCAAAGAGTAAAGAAACGCCAAGAGAAGAGCGCGTTGAATGCGAGTGAACTGGTAAAAAAGACACGAAGTCAGTCACTGGTCAAGGTGGGTGCTGCTAGAGTACCACTGGGGTACAGAGCAGAGGTGTCATGTTGCGAAAAGCCAGCGTGTTTGATTGCATCCGGCACAAGATGTGTGTACGGTAAAACTGCACGTGAGCTTGAAGCTGAGAAAGCCACTCAGCGACGCTCGCCCACATACTGCAAAATAAACCAGAATCGGTACTGGGCAAAACAGGGGGAAAAGAAAGGCTTCGATGACAGGGTTGTCACTCACCCAGCTCATTCGCCTGATGTCAACGTGAACGATCCTGCAAAACGACGCTGAGCTCGTCCGCTTCGGCTGGTAAGAAACACGACTGATCGTACTCATGAAGGAGGTGAAGCGCTTGGAAAAGTGTCGATACGAAGTACTTGCGCTTCTGAAAGTGCGAAGTACTACCCGACAACAAATACTGCGTCGGCTGATGACAAAGGATAACTTCTAGATTTTTCGACTTGGAGAGTTTCTCTTGATATTGAACGACTCCTCAACTCATTCTGAGTCGTTAGGAGCCGTTCTGAGAACCTGGAATGTATCAGTAAAAAGTGTAAAGAGAAGCGAAAATTTTGCTTGGGCGGAGGAAGTATAGGCAATGAAAACATACAAGTACATGAATATCGGATGGGGGAAGGGTGGTTCACCATACAGTTATTGCTAACTCGTAGCCTGGCACAAGGAAAACATGGATGCAACAAATGGGATTTTCGGTCATTGACCACTTGATGGTCGGTCTGATCCGCGGCGATCCTGCAGAGTTTTGACACTCGTGTGGATGCGAAAACTCTGCCTGACAGAGTCACAGGAAAAATTTCTTTATATAAAACTTACATTCCGTGGCTTGTTCTCCTATGTCGCGTTCTTGGGTCTCTCGCAAACACTCTTGCTTAGCTCGACATGGATGTGATTTTCTTTCCAGTCTGTGACGACTCTCACTGCAGGGCCTTTACTAGAGTCCCGCTTTCATTACTCAAGCGACCACAGATAAATGTAACGTGTGCGGATGTGAAGGTTACACCATACATTAGTCAGGTTTGATTCTTGCCGACATTTGAAGCGGTTCATTTTACTTTTCGGAGCATCAGGTCCCTTGGCAGTCCCCTCACCTCACAAATCTTCACGACCCGGAATGATGCTATCCACACTACCTCCCAGACCAGAGGCCAAACATTCAGTAGTCTCTTTCTCCTCCTATTCATGTCCAGGCCAGGCCTCTACAGTCTCTCAATTCTTGGTGCTGACCGCTCTTGGTGCACTACCAGCGATCATAGGATCCCAGTGTACCTTGCCTGCTTTTCGCGCTAGCTGCTCACAATTTCTCCTTGGGCACCCTGTAAGAAGGCCATAGGCCTGTTGGGTATACCCAAGTAAAATACTACTTCAAAGTACTACTACTACTTCTACTTAAAGGGGAAGTTAAGGCAAAAAATAAAATTTCACCAGTTGTAGTCTTCGGGGTGCTGAGTCGAATGGTCTTGGTCCGAGAAAGCTGAGACGCTCCCTTCCTACTTGAATCCCAATCGAACTCGCGCACTTCCACCGAAACTGGGTGACTGCGCCCTACTAGATGGGGATTTGTATGCAAAATGTCACTAAAAGCGCCATTTCGTTCTTATAAAAGCACGGATGACCGCGATTGGCCCATATGTTGTAGTCTTTTGGACGCTGAGTCGACTGGTTTTGGTCCGAAAAGGCTGCGATGCAGCGTTCGCCCCTAATTCCCAATCGAACATGGTTGAACAAGCAGTCACGTGCTCCTGAGTACACCAGTCACCTGGTCACGGTGCCTGCAGGGTACAACTTACAGCCTGTTTTGACCTTTTTTGGGTGCAGTCCTGTCACTCGAGTTGAACCTTGGTGTGAAAGTTGTTGCCTGCTGGCGTGGTGACCAGGTGATTTTGGCACCCAGGAGCACGTGACCGCTTGTTCAACCATGTTCGATTGGGAATAAAGGAGGAACGCTGCATCGCAGCCTTTTCGGACCAAAACCAGTCGACTCAGCGTCCAAAAGACTACAACATATGGGCCAATGGCGGTCATCCGTGCTTTTATAAGAACGAAATGGCGCTTTTAGTGACATTTTGCAGACAAATCCCCATCTCGTAGGGCGCAGTCACCCAGTTTCGGTGGAAGTGCGCGAGTTCGATTGGGATTCAAGTAGGAAGGGAGCGTCTCAGCTTTCTCGGACCAAGACCATTCGACTCAGCACCCCGAAGACTACAACTGGTGAAATTTTGATTTTTGCCTTAACTTCCCCTTTAAACGGCAAGGTGAAGATAACTCAGAAGTTGCGACAAACTCGTCCATTTGAAAATAAATTGAAATTCGTCACCTCTCCGCACTGCGCTCTTGGTCCACATTCACCAAACTATAGCGAGTAATTCCGTTCTTGCATAGATGTGTGGTGATTGATTACGTGGAGATGAAGTTTGAAAATGTTACTCGTTGTATCTCTGGAGAGGAACCCTCCCTAACCTCGTGATTTGTACTTTCGAACAAAAATTGATAAAAAGGCTTTATGAATGGATTGTTACTCAATCTGCGGACAGAACTGTTTCGTCCTTTGTGGATTCATCAGCACAGAGGAAATGAGCCCGAACCTGGTAGCAATGAAAAAAAAAACAGTTACCAAACCCAGATTTAAACCAAGCCGGAACGTAACTTGTCAGAGTGCTCAAACTGACAACTCAGGAACGCAAACAGCAAAGGCACTACCCCACACAAGAGTGCTAAACTGCTACAAGCAAGAGCGTAATAAAGGAATGGGTTGTTATCTTTTCGTGAACTTTCGATGAAAAATTAAAACAGTCTCCTTTAAATATTCGACGTGGAGACAACAATTTTAAAATTGCAATAAGGAGAACGAGAGAGCTTGGAAGCTCAGGGCCCTGCGCTATGCTTTGTTGCCTAGCTCATCGTGCATGTTGTTAGAACTGATGGAAATGCTTTTTCCTTTGATTAGCTAAATCATTGTTTTGCAAAAACGTTTCAATGAGATACTGAAGTACAAGTAACGTCTTCTGCATAGCTATGGGACCGGCGCTGACTCTGCCGATGACGGGCGTTCTGGAGTCGACGGGATGTCTGTCCTGACGTTTCCTGGGACCGGCGCTGACTCTGCCGATCACGAGCGTTCTTCTTCTTATTATTATTATTATTATACTGACGGCAACTAACATCCATTCTGATTGCATTTACTCGTCTCCCTACTTCGTATTTCTTTCCAGAAAATCTCCCCATACAGCAGGGAGTCGTTTACATAATATGACTCCCTGCTATACATCTACATGACTGTATATACGTTATAATTATTATGCTATCGGCCTACATGCGATTTCCGGGCTGGTCGACAGGCGGCCCAGCCAGCCTGCTAGTGGGATCTCGGCCTCGCACACAAATCCACACAAAATTTAATGTTACTGCACTGAATGCATTCCCCCCATACACTTCGCATATATACTCATTCTCTTGATGGTACCGTACTCTTGATGATACGGGACAGGTACGGGATAGCGCCAGGTATGTCGATGGCACAAACAAACAAAAATATTGTGGCCAGCTGTCTTTGCTGGTACGGTACAGTACGGGATAGATACAAAATAGCGCCAGGCGTGACACAAACAAACAAACACACAAACAAACACCAAATTAAAGCTGTGTGGACCCTGGCTAGCGCCAGACGTTACTGAAGTAACGTCTTCTGCATAGCTACGGGAACGAGCTTAAGTGATATTTGGACTACTTTATTAAACAATAAGTTCTGGAGACGATGCGAAAACGATATAAAAGGCAAGGAGAAAAAGCGATGGAAAAAAGAAGGTTCGAGCATGTTTTCGTGCAACACTCTTCAGGAATCACCGTTGTACTAAAGAACAAAATAAGAACAAAGGAAATAATAATTATAGGAATCAAGTTAGAGTAGCAATAGGCCTTGACAGATTATGCTAATATTTTCGTGAAATTATGCTTTTCGCATTGCTGAACAAATTGCAGAATTATGCTATTTTTATGCTAAAAATTATCATATTATGCCGCATTTTGCTCACCTATGCTGCTAATGTATAATAATTCCGTGCAAAATAACAGGGGAATATTTTTGTAGAGGGCGTTGTACTGTAGTAGCAAAAGTTCAACGGGGTCAACGCACCGTCCGACCTAGCTACGACCGTCACTGATTGTAGTGGACTGGACATGTTCTCGAGGGAGTCGTAAACCTACGACTTCCTGGTGCATCTACTTGTACTTGTAATTGTAGAACATGTACAACTGTATGGAATTTGATGCGAACAGGAGGATTATTCCAATTTTATGCGATTCGTATGCAATTTGCCTCAAATTATGCGAATATTCGATTTTGGTAGGAATTAAGCAAACAATATGCTAGCTTATCACTCCCTTAGTATTGACTCGCATAGAATTTTGCCATACCTAAGCAGTCAAATATTCCTGCATATTTCACTCCTTAGGGCTATATTGACTGCTTATATTTGACTGCTTAGGCAAGTTAGGGGTTGCGCAGTTGAACGGTGCCTAGTGCAGCATTGTCACTGCATGAGTAGGTGGTGGTGCAACTGTAGTATCCCTGCCCGACCAATACGGAAGCAGTACGGAACTAATACGGAGCTTTGCCTGATGTATATTTGGTGTATCTCCGTATATAAGCGTACGGCGTCTGCTGCATAAAAGCGGCTGCGCATTTCTGTTTTGATGAAGAGAAGATTAGATTAGATTGGATAGCAATGAAAGCTAACTCGAAGAATAAGGATTCAGCCTCTAGGTGAGCACCGGAGAGAAAGTCAGTTATTTTGCCGCTTCTTCTTTCACGAACGATTATATCTCAGGTGTGTACCTGAAAGTAGAATAAAAGTAATTATTGTTGATTTCACCGCGCCTACCACTCGGCTACCTATTACATTGGTGGCAGCGGTGTAGTTTAAAATAGAACGACGTGATTCGACCCCAGACCCCCATGGCTCAACCCGCTGCAGCTTTCTGCGACGAATCAAGATGAGAATCATGTTTCTTGCCTTCCTGGGCTTGGCCCTGTTTATTAGCTTGCCGCACAGCCAGGGTGCTAGCGTGGATCACCCTTCTCTCCGCACGGCAATCACTGGAGACTCCGATGGCGATTCCAAGCGACCCGCTACCTACATGTATACTACCGGTGGTGATGGCGAAGCTGATGAGGACGACGACATGCAGGCTGCTGACCAAGACAAGGAGGGTATTCCCCAAGACCAGCAGGGTTTGATTTTCGCCGGCACGCAGTTGGCAGACGGCCGAACCCTGAGTGACTACAACGTTCAGCAGGAGTCCACTATTCACTTGGTACTTCGTCTACGTGGTGGAATGCAGAATTTCGTCAACACTCTTCCTGGCTAGACCATCACTCTTTACGTCGCGCAAAGTGATGCTCTCGACAATGTGAAGACCATGATTCAAGACGAGGAGGGAGGTTATTTGTCTGACGCCGAGCTAGCCGCTCTGACTGACCGGCTCAACCAAGATGAAGATAAAACCTGGCTCGCCCTCCGCTGTAGCTCAAGCCGCCGCCGTGGTTACTAACGCTGATTCCAGGTATGGCATTTTCTTTCCTGTCTTCCTTCAGTCCCCCTGTTCTCTTCAGTCTTCCTTTATGCGAGTGTGTGAATCCAGTTTAGTTTGGTAGGCGTCTGATCATGGTGAGCCACGGCTTACCCAGCTAACGTGGGACAATGTGTGTGACAACGCCCCTTATAGTTATAATGTATTCAGTTCGGTTTTTGAACTGCGATGTTCCTGGCGGGTTGTGCCAGCGTAGTGCAGCAAGAGTGCTGTGGTTTCAGGTCCTATTTGGAGGACAGTTCTTTCCCTTTTGACCCCGTGAGATCGTGTGAATCTGGTGTGCTTTTACTTCTATTTTATGATTTATTATCAGTTCATTTCTTCTGTCTACTCTAAACGTTATCATTTCCGATATAATTTGCCATCTTCCGGTTGACGCTGTTGTTCGTAACTCCTCACTAATTTTTTGAAAATCACGAGGGCGTGATTATCTGTAGGAAGGGAGGGTGTAGTATCCCTGCCCGACCAATACGGAAGCAGTACGGAACTAATACGGAGCTTTGCCTGATGTATATTTAGTGTATCTCCGTATATAAGCGTACGGCGTCTGCTGCATAAAAGCGGCTGCGCATTTCTGTTTTGATGAAGAGAAGATTAGATTAGATTGGATAGCAATGAAAGCTAACTCGAAGAATAAGGATTCAGCCTCTAGGTAAGCACCGGAGAGAAAGTCAGTTATTTTGCCGCTTCTTCTTTCACGAACGATTATATCTCAGGTGTGTACCTGAAAGTAGAATAAAAGTAATTATTGTTGATTTCACCGCGCCTACCACTCGGCTACCTATTACACAACGTTGTGCAATCATAAAACCGGGATTCATGAGGTTATCGTTCTGGAATTTGAAATACGGACTGTTTGTCGTGATAAATCTAATATTGACTTCGTACGTGGTCAGTATAGGAAATAAAACCTCGTAAAAGACCTCGGCTTCGCCTCGGTCTTTTACTCGGCTTTTATTTCCTATATTGACCTCGTACTCAGTCAATATTAGATACATAATCTTTCAAGGCCAAAGTAGCAAGGTACAGTGACAGCACTAAAATATCAAAGTGTGATACTTCTCATAAAGGTGTGCACAAAACTAGGGTATGAGAATTATACGCGTTGCATATGTGTATCACCAACAAAGGAAAGTGAGAATGAATAATAATAGCAAATATTGTGAAAAGAAGAAAGACAAAAATTAATGTTACGAGTTATGACTAACTGTTCACCAACGTAACCAGATCTTATACAGTCTTTTCACAATAATTTAATTGGCTCACCATCCGAGTTAAATAGCAAATATAAACGTCAAAAAGTTTTAAGGAAGAGGACATAATTACGAGTTAAGAGTAACTCTCCATCACTGTAACCAGATACTCTACAGTCAGAAAGTGCTACAACTAGGCACAAAACTGACAAAGTACTGAGACATTTGACGTCCTGACACCTAGCTTCAACACATTTCCGTAGCGCTAACCGACAGCCTTCCAATTGTGCCCAGTTGTTGCACTTTTTTACTGTATATAGTATCTGGTTACAGTGATGGAGAGTTATTCTTAACTCGTATCCATATGTCCTCTTCCTTTCTACATTTATTATTGGCTCAACATCCGAGTTTCAATAAGTTTTGGAAGCTATTTGTCTTAAAGTAGTCCAAATGTCACAGTTTCCTTTGTTAGATCTAAAACAAATACAAGAAGCACTGATATTCTAAAGCAAGCACTATTGGAGGCGTGATTACATGAGCAGCGAGCAGTGCGATAGCAAGTGTAGATTGGAGAAATGCAGGTGAGAAGAAAGGTACATGTATGTGAGTGGGTGTGTGAGTGTTGGTATGTTATGTGAAGAGTGTGAGTGCTGTAACGAATTCCTTCTGCATTCATAAATCTGGATCACGAGTACGAATAAACACGGCTTCTAATACGGAGAGTAGACGAAAACTACTAGCATAGCACACCACACTGAAGCAGGAATCATCATACAATTGCAAACACTGGGGGTTGGACACCAAATGCTTGAGTACAGCAGATCTACGAGTACTCACAAACATTGCACACTGCTTGCTGCTCATGTAATCACGCCTCCAATAGTGCTATCTTTAGAATATCAGTGTTTCTTGTATTAGTTTTAAATTAAATTTTAATAATCTACACCTCATGATACCATAAATAAAATAGTCCCCTTTGTGTACAACATTTCAATAGATCGTGCCTCAGTCAGTCCTGTTATATTTCCAAGAAATAAAAATTGTACATGTAGGTCGAAAAGAATATTCCCGGCTGTCCATTGAAACAATCGTGGAAGCGCACCGATGTGTGGTTCCAGAGTTACGAAGCCTGAAAGTCGAATCGCGGCGAATGTCGCGCAATAGCAGCGTGCGCAGATTTGAATGAGGGATTTCCCCATCATTCTGGGCATGTAGTGACGGTGAAACACGTTCAAAATGGCATACGGACTAGTGGCAGTTTGTGCACCTTTTGAAGTAATAATTAGTTGTTACGAGCAAGGCTGAGAGCGAAATGGCAAGACGACTTCTGTTGGATTATTGGCGTGGCAACTAAGACACTGGGATATAGCGCCAGGGTTTTGACATTCGTGATGGCAAGGGTAGGCTCCTCTTGCAACGAGCTTTCCAGGAAGCCCAAGATTGAAAAAATCGTCAAAAGGAGACCAAAGTCATAGCCCGGAGAATTATGGAATTTGAGGTGAGTCGATATCAAATTCAGGCGGCGTACATTTTCCGTACATAAAGGGCTTCAGAGAGCATGATATCTTGCGCGACTGTTGACGTAATTGTTGATTTGGTGCCGAGGATCAGTTCATGACTTGTATTTCTCGTCCCCTGGTGCTGTTGTCAGCGTGTTGTGGTCCCTGGCGATTTCATTCAAAGATAGGGCTAGGACGTGGATGTTTTAGTGTTGGTAGATTAGTGGAAGGGAATGTGGCCTCGCTCCTTGTGTGATGCATTAGGCCACCCTTTGTTAATTCATTGTGTAACGTCCTTTTTTCGCGAAAAGGTACGCGGGAGGGCGAAAAAATACCAAAAGCCCATTCCAAAAACTGGAAACCCCAATCAAACATTTTGACCAGTAAAGCATGTGATATATACAATATTTCTGGGTCTAACGGCACTTGCAGGCATAGAACAACACTCTTTGATGGTACATTGGAGCACATGCCTGATGAATCCAACAAAACAGGTACATAGCATGGAGTTAGCATGTCATGAATTCATTAAATCTGGATTTTTACTAGGACACACACCGTACGATATTTAAAAGCCAACAAAAAAAGAAAAAGAACACAAGACAAAGGCATGCCCGGGAGGCAAGATTATAAGTTTAAGGTCATGATCGGCACACTGTGAAACTACACAATCATGTATTTACAACTTCGCATATTATTGGTACTACTACTTTCTTGTTTTTTTCGGTCGGAGGCAAAAAGGTACGCAGGCGCGGACGTTAACAACGAAAAAAGAAATAGTGGCCTTACGCTGAATTAACTTAGGACTAATGCCCTCGTAGTCAGCATTATTGGCCTCATTGGTTTCCAGATGTGGGTAAAGATTATGTGACTAATCGAGCGGTGCTAAACATGTTTGTTGTTTGTTTGTATTTATCTGCAAGAACCCAATAATATGAGAGCATAATGTGACAATGGCTGCGCCCAACATCTTCGTGTTCTGTTTCTAACAGATGTCAATCCACACTGTACTGTCATTGGTCATCTGCTACTATGCACTCACCGGTACTACAGTGATGAGTTGTCCAGCGACATGTTGGTGTGTTGGTGCACCTAGTTACACTGTAGATTGCCACAATCGCGGATTAACAATGGTGCCTGGTGGAATACCGAATACAACAAGATATCTGTAAGTCACCCATCTTGGAACATGCCATTCACACTTTCCTCATCCGTTACACAGAATTGTTGGCATTTGCAATGTGATGGGATGATCTGCTCAAAACTCCGTATGTAATGGATATTCGTCAGGCGAAATTACTGGTCAGTCGGCGACACGCATTTTTCACAAAAAAATTGCGTTTGACCTGCTGGGAGAGTATGCGTGTACTCGAGTCTCATCCTGAGCACGTTTTTTCTTCTTTTTTCAGCTCCAGTATAGCTGTATTTTTCATTGCAAAGCCGTCCTCGATTGTTGTGTTCGTTGTTCAAACGAAGTGGACATTCAATCATGAAGGCAGAGGACATAGGAGCCTGATTGGAGTTTCTCGTGGCATAGGACGGCCACACAGAGACACTTTGGGATTTTCTGAATATAAAATACTGTACGCACGATGTTGAGATCAATTTGTGCGATATCAAATTGTTTGTGATCTACCACATCGAGCAGAACGGGATCCAAACACAAGCTTACCGACGGTTAGGCTGCCGACCTGACTGAACAAATGATCCCTGGCTTCACCAGACGCCAGAAGTTGGACACCATGTCTTTTGCCGCGACGTCCATCTCCAAAAAGAACTCCATCTTCGTCGTGAAAAGGTTTGAAATACTCAATATTCAACCGAGATTCGCGGTCTCACCCTTTCTCAGATCGAATCATTTTTGTTGTAGCAGTTGCAGGGCAGATCCTCGCCACTACTTCAACAGAAGATGGCTCCAAAGCATGCCTGGAACAAGCCATATCGAGGTTGCAAGCCACCCCTCTCAGCAAAAATTCGAAGAAATTCGAAATTTCAATGGTGGAAGATATACTATGAAGAGAATTTCAAAAAGTATGTTTCGCGGAGCGATCGCTCAACCTACGTCATTCAAACTTTGCAGGATGGTTCAGACGTACATGCTAGGCATGGAACCACAGAAGATGATATCATAGCTGACACACAGAGTCACACACACAGCAGATTCGTGTGCACAGATACTAAATTAGTGGACGTCGTCATCTTCTTCCCGCTGATCTCAAATGTACTATGACGCGCTATTTTGCCTGACGCATGATCCATTGTTTATTATAGCAATAAAAACTGCTTTATGGCAGTTTTCTAAAAAAAGTTATTGTGTTCTAGTCCATGGACCCCGTCTAAAAAGTAAGAAATTAACGAAATGTGATAGCTGAAAATTAAAATTTCACACAAAACCTCACAATAATCACAACACTTGAAATGCTGCTTTCAACCAGGGAGTAGTACAATACTACTCCCTGCTTTCAACACTAAACTTGTACTGCACCAACAATTGGCAACATGCATGCATAGGAAAGAGGATCGCGAGGGGAAGAGGTCTTCTGCATGTAGCTTTTCATTCTGTGTGTGATTATTGTGAGGTTTTGTGTGAAATTTTAATTTTCAGCTATCACATTTCGTTAATTTCTTACTTTTTAGACGGGGTCCATGGACTAGAACACAATAACTTTTTTTAGAAAACTGCCATAAAGCAGTTTTTATTGCTATAATTTCTTTTGTTTTTTCTGTCACCAATCAATGGAATGCCCTATATCAATATGTAAATGATGGCCTTCACATCATATCAATACCATATTATACGCATTGATGTGCAAGCCTTTTCTTGCAGAAAATGGCACTAGCATAATGCATGTTCTTCTGCGGGTAAACATGTGAGCATGCAGTGGTGGTTATACTTTTTTTATACGGAGGTCATTCTGTGCATGTTGCTGTTGCAGAATTTCATGACTCTGTCATAAAATTGTCTTGCCTTTCAGATATTTCAGATTTCTCCACCCTCAATCAGATTTATTTGAGAAATGTAGCCATGCGGCAGGTGCGTGTCGCAAATGTTTTTGTTGATTCTGTGTTTATAATGGTTTATAGTCATGGGTTATCGTGATAAGGTCATCCAGCATCATGTTGAAACTGAAATCGTAATCCTGTTGATGTCGATACAACTTTTGGAAGTAGTTCAATGACTTCAAACTGTTAGTCCACGATTGTCTAAAACAACACAGCAAAGGAGGAACAATAAACATGTATTAAAATGTAAACGAATACATTGCTGAGTCCAAAACCTCGTTCCAACAACTACACTGATCCTGAGGAGAAAAGGTACAAGGCTATGGTTGGAGGTACTGAGAGATAAACAAGGCACTCCACAATAATAAAATCTTACACATCTTTTGGTGAGTATGAATGATATCCAGTCGAACCTCTTTAGGACGAACACCAAGGGACCGATGGTATTTATTCTGTGAGCTTAACCTATTTTATAACCGGAGAATACAATTATATCTCCAATAGACATACGAATAGATTTCTTCTACGGCGAAAGATTCTAAGCCACACCAACTCATTGCCTCGTCTCGTATGAAACAATTGAGTCACTAGGGAGATTCTGCAAAACGAAAATGCGTACAAACTTTCGCTCTACATCATGAAGTGCGAAACTTCGCACCTTTGGACGCGAAACTTGCAGGGAACGCGAAATGAACTGTCGTAGGAAATTTCGTGAGGTCGGGTCATGGCGTAAGTGCACTTGGCCCGCGCAAACTACGAAAATGTGCAGAACGCAAAGTTCGTGCAAAAATTCGCACACACTTTCGCAAGGACTGTCGCGAAACTTCGTTCGAATTTTCGTTTTGCAGAACCTCTCTACTGAACCTTTCTTTAGCAACATGACGGCAACTCAAACAGCAACAGAGAAAGTACGATACATGTACTCCACATTCTTACAGGTACTACAAACAGATTGCAGATCGTAATTCTTGCTTTGGCGGCACGAAACTTTATTTGAGGCAGTGCAATCTCGGCGGTACTCACAAATCAAACAGCCCAGACTTGAGTAAACAAATCCAATCATACAAGTACGAGATTTTCACGAGACGAGACTGCACCCATTGGCTTGTTTCGTATGAAACAAACAAGTTACTGAACCTCTCCACAATAGAGATTTCCCCTGATATGCGAATTTATTTTGCAAACTCGGTCAATTGGTACTTGAACCTTTCCCTCCAGATTGGGAACTGCCAACGATAGTATGCCACTGACCAGTGCCTTACTTGTAACGTACCAATGTACAATGAATATGAGTATTTCGACAACACATCTAACATAAGCCTTACCGTCAAGAAGTTGAACTCGCGTTCTTCGCACACTGCAGACAAGGGCAAAGAGATAAAAATGGATCTAAATCCGAATAAAATCAGCACACGTTTCCGTAAATGAAAGGTGAACATAAGCAAATGAATTGAAGGAAACCGGTCAACTTAGAGATCACCTGTCATCGAGTATTCCGTAAAAGGAGGCCTCGCAGCTCGGCAGCAGAAAAGCAAAATTTAGAAAAGAGATCCTGTCAACTTTTCCATTATTTATTGCATTCCGCCCCAAAATCAGCACACTTTTCCTGAATGAAAGAGTCAACACAAGCAAATGAATCAAAGGCAACTGGTCAACTCACCTGTCATTGAGTAATATTCCGCGAAAGGAGGTCTCAGCAGCGCCGAAACGAAATAAGCCAGGCCATGAGACGAAATATCCGAAACAGCTCATGCATGCAAGAAGCAGTTCCAAAGAAGGAAGTTCCTCGCGCATGCACATCCGAACACGGATCCGCGGACTGCATGCACTGAACACAATGTCTGCCGTGCACGTGCACAGCACACGGCTACCACGCGTTGGTAGATCTAATACCGAGCACCTTACGTAGAGACTTACGTAGCCTAAGTGAAATACCGAGCACCTTACGTAGAAACTTACGTAGCATAGCGGTGTCGTTTTTTCTGCCATGTGAACACAATAATAGAAAAGCTGACAGGATCGCTTTTCTAAATTAGAAAGCTCAGGACAAGAAGAAGCCATTGTAGCAAGTCGCATTTCAATTGAACACTCTCACCACCAGCAATACAGAAATCGACCCAATGTTTTCAGTTCATTACAAATTGGGGATCAACGTCGTTTGAAGACCTGGGCTTTCGAGCAAAAGCATCGCATTTACTCCTTGGTGAAGAATCATTGGATGACAAAGCTCAAAGGGTTGGTTCACATATCGCCGGTACGCGCCGGGAGTCAACGGGAGTGTGCCTCTGGCAACTTATCCTGGCGCATTGCGATTATGTGAACCAGTGCAGTCGTAACAAAATCATACGGTAAAATATCGTGAAGGGACCGCCGGCAAAGTTGGACAGTGCCCAACTCTTGCGATCTGCCTCGGCGCCGATCCCGTACAATTTTGACCAAAAGTGGTTTGTGAACTGTTCGCGCCGGTGATCGCTGGTGCCGGGAGCCAGACTTTGTCAAAATTTCAAATCAAGACTCATCCTAAATTTTCCTAAATTGAAGGTAAAGATGAGGTCCGTTCGCCATTCTTGTAGCCGTTTCAAGGTGGCAAATTAAGGAGGCCCAGACCACCAAACTCCAAAAATTAAAAAAAACATGGAAAGTTTATATATATAAACTTGGGAATTTGTCCCTTGGGTAGTGCTAATGTTGATTGTCCAAAACATTGGGTGGGGGTCACCGATATGTTTGGCGTCACATGAGTTTTTTTTTGGAGAGGCATCGATACATGAAATTTTGCAATTTTTAATAAGAAAAAGCTGTTGTTTCCTATTGAAGTGTATCTTCGTCAGATTTTTGAGTCTAATCTATGCAGGCTGGAACTATGACGCATACTCACCATTGATAATTGTATTATGTTACTTTACTTAGGATATTACAACAATTTGGTGCAATTCGCAATTGCAGAAATATACAGTCAACTTCGCTTATAACGACACTCGGCGGGGCATCACAAATTTGTCCTTATTCGTGAAGTATCGTTATACCCGAAATCTCATTATATGTATTACAGTGGGATGAGACTTTGCGCTGGGCATGAAAATTCTGTCGTTATTCGCGAATTGTCATTATATCCACAGTCGTTATTGGCGAAGTTGACTGTAGTACAAATACGTATGTATTCTG